GGAGGAGCAGCGGCAGCCCCGCCACCCAGCACGGGGCCCCTGAGTGAACTCAGCCCTGCCTCGGTCTCCAGCACAAAACAGAGGAGGAAACGCTAAGCGCATTCTTTGGGGGAAGCCCGGGCCCTGCCGGAGCAAACAGCCAGAGTTCTCGGTTCCCAAAACCCTGAATCCCCGTGGATATTAGCCCTGCACTTCTCTCTCTCTGCCCTGGATAGCCTGCTTTCCTCTTCCTTTGCTTTCGGCTGGAAGGAGCGCCTGCAGTTGTGTGCAGCCTGTGGCTTATCACGGTGGGGATCAGTGGGAGTATTCACCTGTCCTGGGCAGAAAAATGCTTTCTTGCCTTCCCGCTCCTGTACCCAAGGATGATGGGTGCTAATGGACAGAGAGTTGGTAGAAGGGAATGTTGTTTAGGAAGGGAACAAGAAGTTACACTTGGCTGCTGCTGTGGTCCCAAGGTGTCAAATGCAAACTGGGACGCAAAACCATGCCAGGTGTATTTGGGACACTTTTAGAAGTTTTGGCTTTTTGAGTGTCCTGTAAGCATGTCTCTTGATGCTTGGTGCTGGGAAAGGGATGGTCATGGGGATTGCGGCTTTCTGACTGCTTGGATCTGCCCTGGAGCCCCTCACAGGTGCAGGGACTAGGTGCTAATATGGACCCTTAATTCTGCTCTTTACAAGAACACATCTTGTTTCCAAGACAGGTCGGCAAGTTGCTCCTGACCCTGAGTTATTCCCAGCCACCTTTGCTCTTGCCATTTAAGTAGTTCAAGTTTTTTGCTTTTGGAGAAAAGCATCTCCAGCCTGGAGGTCATCTGGGAGGACAGAGATGACCAAAGGGATTTCCATGGGGCCTTTATTTGCTGCTGTGAGGGGAGCTGCTGGTGTTGGTGGTGGATTAAAAAGCTGTTTTCTGTGTTGGCTGCCACCTTATTGACCACTGGTTCTTGGTATGTGGTAGTGAGGTCCAATAATGTGTACTGAACCACCAGAAAGGGAGTTGTTACTGCATCCTGGCAGAGGAAAGGAATGCATTTCCTCCACCCTTGTGTTGTGTTCTGAATTGTTGTCATTGGGGTAGTGTTTGTGGGGTTTGGTGCATGTTGGGTTTGAGCAGTTTTGCTTGGTTGTTGTTTGGGTTTTCAAAATAATCCAGGCAGTGTTTCAGCCTGTGAAAATGGATAACTACTATGTTGGGTCAGGCTTGGAAACAACTGAAAATGCTAAGTATGGAAAAGAGAGGAAAGCCACAGGATTTCCCAGGGTAAAAAGGCGCCTTTTTGAGAAGCGGAAGAGAAGGCACTGAAAACAAAGGGCGCTGGAGTGGCCAGGGATGCAGAAAGCAGAGGGAAGATTTATGGCTCTGCTGGGACCTCTCTGCCTGCGTGGGTGAGAAGGTTGTGTGCTGAAGCCTTCAGCACGTCCATGTCCCAGCAGTGCACGCAGAAGGTTCTCCCTGCTCATCAGCTCACATCCAAAGTGCAGCATTCCTTGCAGAGCACAAGTGCATGTGGAGTGTCCCAAAGTGCTGCTGCTTTCAGTGCTGCCCCCAGCTCGCTGCCCTGGGAAAGCTTTTAGGACATTTTGTCTGCAAAGACAACTTCTGTGTGTGCTTTCTGTTCTCCAGAAACAAGAACATCATTTAGATCCTTTGTCAGACACTTACAATAGGCTTGTCTTTCTCCCATGCCTGTTGTATTTACATGTTAGAAATGTTCATTTTGACAAGGAGATAATAAATAAAGACCCCATAAACTGTGTTTTTCAGAGATGGTCTTAATCCAGGAGTAGCTTTTCCAATGAGTTAGTCTTAATATCAGCCATGACAACTAATTCATACAGACAGGACTTAAAATCTCTATTTTGCTGGGCACTCTGGGAGCACAGAAGCAAGCATGATCCTTCCCCAAGTTTAAGAAATTTGCTGATGAAATCATCACACAACAGAGCGAGTCTCTTAAAGATGGAGAGATGCAGATATGCTGGGCATTTCAGAAGTGTCTGATAAGTGCCATGTTCTTTTGGATCCCCTGAATGCATCATTCAAAGCAGCTGGTCCTCCCTTCCTTTTGTTACACCTGACATTTATTTCCTGACTGGAGCTGTGTGAAAGCTGCTCCTTCCTAAGTGGGGGCCAGACCAAGGGGAGAAAAGGCTGTGTAGTGCCCCATTAAACCCATAGGAGTGGGGAAGAACCTGTGTTAAACCCTTGTTGAGGTTGGTTAATTGTGATGGTCTCAGGCCTTCAGAACTGGGGTGCAAGCTCTTCAGGGAAGTGTTTTTTAGCAGAAGGATTGGAGTACTAGTGGCTGATATGTCTGTTGGCAGGATCCCAAGAGCTGGCTGAAAGAGGCCTCTAGTATGAAAGAAATGCTGAAATAGGACTTTTAATGCACTTGCATAGCAGTTCCTTTCAGGCTGAGAAGACTCTCCCGAGGGAAGGAGGGAGTGGGATGGAGCTGGAAAGCAATTTCTTGTTTCATTCAAGTCCTGACAGTAAATGAGTGATCCTGGCTTTGCTTAGATACAGCTCAAATAACATTGTGTCTGAGGTATCCGTGAGCACTGTTTCACAGCACAAAGGAGGAAAAGAAACAGTGTTTGCTTGACTGTTCTCTGAAGTGCTGTGGAAAGGGCAGCAGCATGTTGATCTTGCTTATGGGATTTTTTTCTGGTCTCTACCTTGGAGATGCTTTATCAGCTCCTGGAAATTGAAGCAAAGGCTGACATGTGAGGATATGCATAATGTTTGGGGTTTAGTGAGGGTGACTGTATCACTGAGCTCCCAGCCTCAGGAAGGCTGTACTTTTGAAATGGTGTTGAAATGGCTGTGCTACATTGAAATGTGGCTTCTGCAGGGGCCTTGGGTGGCCTTGAAGTGGGTGCCTAAGACAGTCCAGAGTCCCTGGGATCTCTGACCTCTGTGTCCTGGGATTCCACTGAGGCCTGTGCCCTTTGGTGGAAGGTCAGCACAGAGCAGGCTGAGGGTCAGTTCAAGGTTGATATAAAACACTAAAAGGCATCAGCACTGTCTTACATAAACAAATAAGTTTCTATAGGCTGATCCTGTTCAAAATCTCTCCCAGCCTTTACATGTTTCACCACCCAGTTGGGTCAAGGTGCTCTGTGTCTGTGGACATGGGACTGATGAGGTGAAAGCCATAATTCCCCAGGCCTTTCCTGAGGAAAGCAGTGGATTCTTACAGCCACTCCTGTGAGTCTTCACCAGTTTATGTCTTTCATTGAGCTGGGAGCTCATGGCAGCAAGACACCTTTGGGGCTCTGCCATCATGATGGTCTAGCCTGTGCTGTGCTGAGACA